TCCCACAAATATTCATTCTGCAACACTTAGTGAGTGCCTACTATGTGTCAGATACTACGTGAGGCGGTGGAAATAAAGCAGTGCACAAGAGAAAGAAAAATCCGTGTACTCTTGGAACTTAGGTGTGTTTACTTCCACCAGGAGATGGATCTTTTTCTAGGGCTTAGGAGCTCAGCCCGCATTCAGATATGTTCTCTATTGCTTAGCCTTTCACACTTCTTTAGTATTTCTTCCCCCCTCTAGCAAGTTGTCTCCTCTCCTCCATCTCATTGCACCTCCTTTTCCAAGGGCCCTCCCTCCCCAGCAGGCCTTAGTTGCACCACCTGATGCAAGTTCCCAGCCTCTAGCAAAAGCCTCTCTTTACTAGGACATAGGTGATCCCCTCCAAAGTCAGTTATGTTCTCCAGGTGTGTCAGTCCCCGCCCCCCCCATACACCTGGGCATCAGGTGTGTCCTCCTCCTTCCCCAGGGCTCAGGGGCATCTTGCCCTCAGGACAGGTTCGTGCATTCAACTTCCCTTCGCTCAAGTATGTCCTTCTCACCTCGGGCCGGGCCGCTCTGCCCCTCAGGGCGCCAGGCCCGGGCCGCGCGGGGACCTCGGGCTCCAGTTCCCGTCGCGATCCTAGCAGCAGGTCAGGGACTCGGCGGAAGTGACGTCCGGTCCGGGCAGAAGAAGCAGGCCACGTCGCAGATTATAAGGGCGGAGGTGACATCAGAGCTGGGGGCAGGGCGCTCCTTGAGCCAACCCTTCAGTCCTTGGGGAGGGGCGAGAATGCAACATTATAGAGTGGGGGGGGCTGGCAGATGGCATGGTGGTTAAAGGCACTGGATTCCCACATGGCCAACCGCAGTTGGGAGTCCTAGACCTGGTGCTTGCTTTCTCCCTCTCTCTGTCTGGTCAAATTAAAAATATATATATAACAAATGGAATTAAATATATAGATAATTCTTTAGGGGAAAAAAGGGAAAGAAACATCATAGAGTGGGTATAAAACAGAAATCTGCACAGAATCAAAATATGTAAAAAGAATGGGAGTTAGATAAAGGTTACTGAAATGGAGGCACGAGCCCAGGGCTTCTACGTTAAGAGTCCTAAACTGGAACAATTCGAATAATCAGACAGAAGCACCTGCTCCAGCCCATCGTCTTCGGGAAGCTGCCCAGTCTCGCCATTCCCGTGGATAGGGATCTCCATTGTAGCTGCCTTCCCTAGGATCCCGTCCGTCATGGCTAGGGAGGGGACTGGAGTCAATGTCTCCACCCCAGCGCCCTGCAAAGTCCAACACAGAATAGTTCTGATAACTGGAAAGCACTCATGAAGACGGAGGTCTCCCCTGCCATTTCTGAAGTTCTAGAGACTGAGTGTCCTGTGGTTCGGCTACTACTCCTTTCCTCTATTTTATGCATTTCTCCCCTCCACGGCATGCATTTTTTTACACGTGCACACCCAGTTCTCACCAGGACAATCGCACCTCTCACCAGGACTCCAGCGATCATTCCCACAAATATTCATTCTGCAACACTTAGTGAGTGCCTACTATGTGTCAGATACTACGTGAGGCGGTGGAAATAAAGCAGTGCACAAGAGAAAGAAAAATCCGTGTACTCTTGGAACTTAGGTGTGTTTACTTCCACCAGGAGATGGATCTTTTTCTAGGGCTTAGGAGCTCAGCCCGCATTCAGATATGTTCTCTATTGCTTAGCCTTTCACACTTCTTTAGTATTTCTTCCCCCCTCTAGCAAGTTGTCTCCTCTCCTCCATCTCATTGCACCTCCTTTTCCAAGGGCCCTCCCTCCCCAGCAGGCCTTAGTTGCACCACCTGATGCAAGTTCCCAGCCTCTAGCAAAAGCCTCTCTTTACTAGGACATAGGTGATCCCCTCCAAAGTCAGTTATGTTCTCCAGGTGTGTCAGTCCCCGCCCCCCCCATACACCTGGGCATCAGGTGTGTCCTCCTCCTTCCCCAGGGCTCAGGGGCATCTTGCCCTCAGGACAGGTTCGTGCATTCAACTTCCCTTCGCTCAAGTATGTCCTTCTCACCTCGGGCCGGGCCGCTCTGCCCCTCAGGGCGCCAGGCCCGGGCCGCGCGGGGACCTCGGGCTCCAGTTCCCGTCGCGATCCTAGCAGCAGGTCAGGGACTCGGCGGAAGTGACGTCCGGTCCGGGCAGAAGAAGCAGGCCACGTCGCAGATTATAAGGGCGGAGGTGACATCAGAGCTGGGGGCAGGGCGCTCCTTGAGCCAACCCTTCAGTCCTTGGGGAGGGGCGAGGGCCGGTCCCCCTCTTCCCCTCAGGGCGCCAGGCCCGGGCCGCGCGGGGACCTCGGGCTCCAGTTCCCGTCGCGATCCTAGCAGCAGGTCAGGGACTCGGCGGAAGTGACGTCCGGTCCGGGCAGAAGAAGCAGGCCACGTCGCAGATTATAAGGGCGGAGGTGACATCAGAGCTGGGGGCAGGGCGCTCCTTGAGCCAACCCTTCAGTCCTTGGGGAGGGGCGAGAAACTACTTCCGGGGCGGCACCAAGGCGTTGTAATGGCAGTGGCGTAAGCGTGCGCCGGTGGCGTGATGGAGCAGCAGCAGCAACTGAGAAACGTGAGTGAGCGTAGTGTCGCCTTAGCGCCCGAAGTTCAACTCGCCTCCCTGCCCGAATGGCGGGAACCCCACAGAACCGGGGATCCGAGGGCTGGAAGCACTGGGCTGTGGGAACCCTCGGGCTGCAGGGCCTTGAGTGAAGGGTGGGGCCCTGGTCGCTGAGTTTGAGCGCCTCTCTCTCCCAGTTGCGAGACTTCCTGCTGGTCTACAATCGGATGACAGAACTCTGCTTCCATCGCTGTGTGCCCAGCCTGCACCACCGAGCTCTGGACTCTGAAGAGGTGGGGACCTTGGGGGGAGCGGTAGACTGCCCCCTTTGCCCCACTTTACCTACGGG